CACACTGCAGGTAGCTCTGAGCACAGACTGGCCAGTGTAAAAGCAAAACTTCTAGCTGACTACTCAAATACTCAAATATACACAGTTTCACATGTGTACACACTTCAGCTGTGCACAACTGTCATATCCAAACATCATTAAAAAAATAATAATAATAAGAGGACTACATGGAACTTTTCACACATTGAGTAACCCTGTTTCCTAGTTTATCCACTGCAGTAGCATAGCATCTCCACCAGGGGGCAACGTCAATCACTAAATTCTTCTTAAAATGCATTCCAGACTCAACATTTGTATGTGCAAATTTGGAATGTCAGTGTGTGCATTGGAGTATGTGTGTTTCTGCGTCTGAGTGGATGTATCGTGTGTGTGTGTGGTGTTGTGTGTTGTGTGGTGGTGTGATGTGTGTTGTGGTTATGTGTGTGCGGTTATGTGTGCTATGTTTTGAGGGGACTTGGGGCGGCTGTCCCACGGACGGAGGGGAAGCCAAGCAGCTGGCGCCGCGCGGTTGGTTCAGGCTGTGCAATTGGACAGTGAGATGCGTGAGGAGGGAAAGGGAGGTCAAGTAGTCGTAAATCTTGAGAGGCATGTGAGAAATGCTGCAGTTATGCGTTGTATTTAGAAGAGGTACCCAATAACTTCGCAGACAACATGTGTGGTGTGCATTTTAAGTACGGTGGGACTGAAATATTAGCCGTTTTCTTTCAGTTTGGCTGTTAGCATCAATTGGAAATTATTAATGCTCTCAGAAATACTAAGGACATTTGAGGAAAGCTTTACTTGCGTGTCATGCGTTGTATGTATTGTGTGATGTGTGTGTTGGTGTGTGTGTGTGTGTGTGTGTGTGTGTGTGTGTGTCTCACCACTGGATGATCTCTTGTGATCTGGCTCTCCCAGTGGCTACACATCTTCTTTTTTCAGCAGCTCCCTCCATCATCGTTCCCTTCGCTCGTCTGTTTTTTGGAGCCGCTCACCTATCAAACATGCTGGTTCAGCTTTGAGGGAATAAGCACAGACACAAGCAAAAGAAAACAGGATTCAATATTTAAACTTGGTTACTCCGTTGCTGTCGTTGGAAGTGAGTACACACAATTACACACATTACACACATACACAATACACACATACACACAATACATACACATATATTATTATACATACATACATACATTAGAAAACTGTACTACTGTGTAAAGAGTCTAACAGTTGCTACAAGTGAAGGTGCTCAGCCTTGAATGTGATGACTGGCCCAATATGAAAAATGAATCATTGTATTGTTGGAGGTTATGACAGTTTTTATGATTCAACTCCCAGATGCTCAACCACACTCGACTAGTGCTGCTAAGGAGGTGTGTGTGGACTCACATACACACACCTACAGTGAGACAGAAGGGTGATTAATCTCGAAAAGTTTTCCTGAATCCTTTAATATGAGAGGTGTGTAAAGATGTAACTATGGTGACATCATTACAAGTCTCAAGTGGCCCTATTGTTTGCTTAAATACCTCGCTTTGTGGGCACATTTTTGGTGTCTTGCAACTGTCAAGACTGATGTAATGTGCAAGCTAAGACAGTAATTTAATATTGTTTTGCAACTGCTTCCCAATCCTGCAGCTGTTTGCCAACAAATGTTTGGAGTATCTATCTTCAAGGTCATTGAATAAACACGAACATGGGATAAAATAAATATTGGCTCTATAATAGGCTATCAATGACTAAATCACTCCATATATGAAATAATATATGAGCAAGAGCAGTGTTGGGTTGCTAATAGGAACCCAGACATCACACCTCATCAGAAACATATTGCACAATATAGTTTGAAATGACTCAAGATGGATTTTATTTATATCTGCTGACATTTTAACAACAATAGAAACATCCCCCGCACAATGAACCAAGAGCCTCTTGACTTTTTTGATAACTTTTACAGTTTAGTAGTTGCTAGAAAAAATAGAAAACCAGTACAACAGCTCCTTCAGGGTCTTTATGCAGGCTGCTGTCCAGACGTACAGCCTCTGATTTAACACCCACCTTGTTACTTCACCTGTAATGGAGGGTACCATCTCATTTATCTTTGTGGCTGTCACGTTCCCCCTGACTACCTTCCATTTTAGTCACAGACCGCTTTGCTTCAGCTTTAACTTCACCTGAACCCGTTTAGCACTGACAACGGTAGTTATATTTAGTTTTTCAAGGTCCCTGAATTTCAAAACTAATAAATTTGTTAGGACATTCTGGAAATTCTTTCTTTTGCTCTTGGATGAGATTTTTAGGAATTCAAAATGTCAGACCATTTAACCTTATTTAGGGGCGTCAATTCGGCTACTGATCATTTCTTATAAACAACAGGTGGCATTGATTAGGTAATACGAGCGATTTATGGCATGTTTGTGGAGTTAAGAGGGTTTGGTGAATCTGAGTTCACTGATGGGTACCGAAAACTGGTATAAACGAGCCTTACAGATAAGAGTAACAGATAAATCCTGCCTTCAAATGGAACTTGGAGTTACGACATGGGCCATGGGCATACGCGCCCCTGTGAACGGTAAACACAATCTCATCTGAAGGCAGCACTGGGATAAGAATACAAAAAAAATGTAATAATAAAGAGGCACTAATATGAAGCTCCTGTTAATTGCTGTGAAGTAAAATAGTTTAGTTGCCACAGGACAAGTTTCCCGTGTCTGGCTGAACTATGGCATTAATACTCCTCACTCATCACCGATTTTAGCTTGTCAACAGTGAAAATCAACCTTTCTTAAAAACACACACACAAAGACATTATAATTGAAGATTGAGTTGCTTGATTTTGCTACTAAGCAAACAGTGTTGAAATCTGGTGCCTTCTTTGAAAGATGAGACTAGTCAAACAATAATATTTTCACACACTCCAAACCTATTGAGGAACTATTTTGTGCAAAAACTAGCATACAGACAGAGCTAATCTGTCCTGAGTGCTTAAGCTTTTAAAACATCGTTTTTCAGTTTATATGAAATAACAAAATAATACATTAAATAATAACTACAGTGACATGTGCTATCATTCCACAGACACCCACATCCATATTCTCTCCATTTCATCAAGATATTTTCTATTTTATCAGTTGCAGACTATAAAAACAACACTCAGACATTTTATTCCATATGTCAAAATGCCTCCCACTTCTAAGACACTGTTTAAATTGGGAGTCTTTTTTGAACTTCCAAGAGCTGTTTCCAAAGTCAATAGAGCGTAATCCGGAGAGTCATTCCATCCGACTGTGTAGGAGGCTACGGGGTGTTTTTATGGGGGATATTGAACAGTGATTTCTTTGGCATAGCTGGGAGAGAGGGGGTGGAGGGAGGAATGTGATGACAGAGTTTGGGCCGGCCGAGTGGGGTTACCTGGGGTTAGTGTATGTATGTGTGCGTTTCAGAGAGATAAAAACAGATCACAAAAAAAGCTGAGAGAGCAAGACAGAAAGAAAGTCGAAACTTGTTTTAAACTTGTGTGTTTTTTTTGTTTTATTTTGTGTGTATGGGAACAAATATTTTACCTTATCCAGTTCACTGGAGAGCTTCTTATTTTCTTCAGTGAGCAGAATTCTCTCCCTCTCGTACTTCTCCTTGTACTCAGTCTCAAACTCTTCCCGCTCGTTTTGGCTGCAGGAAAAACACACGCACACACAGATTGTTAAACTTGTGATATTGTATAAACTTACATTTATTCCCCAACCATAATTCACAGCTGCAAATCCAATCTTGACTCTTGACTTTGCAATTTTAACTTGAGCACTAACGCAATCGTTCAAAAACAAGACTTTATTAAGAGATTTTGGTTTTCTGCCTACCAGTCTTTGAACAGTCACTGAACATAAACATATCAGGTAATCTAATGCAGTGGTTTTTATAACAAGGTGAAGTCTAAACAAATCAAAAATGCAATCAAATGTACACCAATCTCAGCCAACCTCCCTCAGAATGCCTCGTCTATCCTCCTACCTTTGTTCCTGTGTGGGCTTACTACTCCACACATTTCCTCTAAACCTGAATCAAAGGATTGGTACTAAGACCAGGTACACATTATTCAGCCCAAACACATTAATGCAGTTAGAATCTGATACAGCGCTGTGTTTAAAAATGAATTAGAAAGCAGTGAGAATAATATGTCAGTAACACCGGGCAGGAAGGTTAGGCTACAGGGTACAAAAACAAAGCTCTAAAGCCTTCTCCTCAAAAACAAGATTTTATTAAAATTTGATTAAACCAGCGGTTCTCAAAGTGGGATCAGGTGCCCCTGAGTACCTACCAGGGGGTCTGTAGCAGGCAAATATGTTGCTTCTTTTCATTTCTTGGTATTTATTATCTGAGTTGGCACATTTTGACAGCTTGTTCTTTTTTAACAAATTCAACCATTTTCGTCCTTTAACATTCAAACTACAGTCGTGAGTCAAGTCTGACCACTTTAAGTCACAATAAGTGAGTTTTATAAGTAAACGAAGTGAACATAAATTAGTAAAATAATAGTTTATCATCTCTACAGCACTGTTACTGCCTTGCTCTCATATTTACTTTCAGTTTCATTGTTACGGCTCAGGTAAGTGACCAACTGAGGTCAACATCAACAAGCCTTAAATAAAGATCTATTTTAAAAGGAATGTCAATAATATCACTCATATCAGAAACCATTTCATAAGGATAAGTAAAAGAGCTCTCTGAAATGGTAGATATCATCTCTGGAATGAAACTCTTGATATTCATGCATCTCCTGTGAAATGGGAGTCACTATGGAGGGATGAAAGTATTTGAGAACCCCTGGGAGGAGATTACCTGCATAAAGGGTTATCTCTGGCTGGGTTGGGGGCAAGAGAACTTTTAAATTCTAATAACGTTACAATCTAACAATAGTTGGGATTAACTATTCAAAAGAAACTTTACCTCATGCAATCATCACTGGAAAAAAACAACAAAGAAAAGAAAATATCATGACTGACATACACATACACTAACTCCACTACACCTGCACCGCACCAATAGTACAGAAGTAAAAAAACAGTTATCTTTAACAGGTAAAAAAAGAGAAAAAACAAACCGAAAGAAGAAGAAAAATGGATCAACTACCTTTCACGGCGAGTCTTCTCCAGCTTGTCTTTGAGCATCAGGATCTCTTTCTGCAGGGCCAGATGTTGGCTCTCTGCATCCCGCAGCTCCTTGCGCAGGGTCTTCAGCTCGGTGCTATGCTGCGCTTCCCTGCGTGCCAGCTCCTCCTCGTACAGGAGCGTTTTCTTCTCCAGGTCTCCCCGCAGGCGTCCCACCTCTTGGGTCTGGTCCGCTGAGGCCGGGCCAGCGGGGGAGCCGGCCTGCTTTAACTGCGTGGTGGGAATATAGAGATAAAGAGGAAAAGAATAGACAAAGGAGTGTGAAAGCAGCTAATAAGACTCTTTTTATCATTACAGAGCAAACACACCACTGTCTAAATATTCTTTAGACATTCTTTCCACTTTTAAGGATGTTCCGTAAGTGGACAGGTTTATGTTCAGCTGTTTGTGTTTGCACACTTACCTTAAGCCCTTCCAACTCCTCCTCCAGCTGTCTGCTATACTGCTCATTACGCTCTCTCAGCTTCCTCTCTTTCTGGGCCTCTGCTGCCTGCTCCTCTGCCTGCGCCTCCATCTTATAATGGATACACACAAACCCCAGTCATTGAATGCTAGCATAATAGATCATCCAACAACCCCCCGCCATACAACCATTTCAACCCACAAGAAGCAGAAGTAGTGATATATATTATTATAAATGATACAATCCTAACCTATACATTTACTTATATTTATACTTATTACGTATACATATATACATAGATACATATATTTAAAACACAAATACATTTTGTGACCTAATTCCAGTGTATTGTGCTGTGTATCAACTTTATTGTGTACTATAATTACTCTAAATTTATTGAATTCTTTCCAAATACTGATCTTGCTAGTGTGTACAAAGACATTATACACTGAAATACAGCCACTGCAACGTTGTTTCTAATCTACTGTATAAATATTCATGGAAATGTATCAATATTTCCAGAAAGGTGACAGCAACACAATAGACAAACAGCAATAGAAGTTTGAATTGTGCACCAACCAGTGGATGGAGACAGAACAGGGTGTGCTAGCAACCACAGGGAGACTACTCTACCTCCTTCTTGGCCCTCTCTGCCTTTCGCACCTCAAGGCGAAGAGCCTCAAGCTTCTGACTCTGGCTCTCCATCTCCTCCTCTTTGTCGCGCAACTGGCGAGCCAAACGCTGCTTCGTCGACCTGGGTGCACAGTTCAGTCACAACAGCTTGTAATTTTTTGCATTTTAAAACATTCTAGACAAATCCATGTATTACACTAAAGGTTTGATAAATTCTCAATATTTATATTCTAATAAACTAACCAACCAACCAACATTAGCATTAAAAAATGCTCAGCAGGAAGCTGTGAGTGGGAGGAAACTAGGAGGTGCAGGTGTGGTTCTAGAGCAGTGATCCCACCTGAGGTCTGTGAGTCTTTCGTTCAGCTCAGAAAATTCCTGCATGGCCAGTTTCCTCTGGCTGTGGGCGTCCTTCAGCTCTTTTGATTGAGATTTCAGCTTCTCGCTGGCCTCCATAACATCCTGACCAGAAAAGGGGACAAACATTCAGATTCTCAACGTTACTAAAATGAGAAGTTATCTCAGTACAAGTAAGGGCTTTATTTGACCTTTTTGACACCAAAATCAAAGCTGAGTGTGGTTTGAGCATTCATATAAATTGTGTTCGTAGGCACATCGGCAACAAAGGTCTTATCGTTATTTTGAATTGACATGCACACTAAGACATCTTCCATTGTGAAGAAAAATGTCTAAGGTATGGGATCTCTTTACAGTCAGAGGAGAGAATAAAAATGTATGTCATTCTCATTTTTTGGAATAACAAGGTAAAAAATATACTACTAAAGTATTTTCTGAGGCATTGTACAGTCCAGGTTCTACCTTGTGTATGTCGTCCCTCTCCTGTGTGATGGTCTTCAGCTGTTTCTCCAAAGTCTTGAGTTGTTTAGACGAGTCCTCCAGGTCCCTGCGGGCCATCGATACATCCTCCAGCTTCTTCTCAAGTTGGCCTGAGTCTGACACACACACACACACACACACACACACACACACAACACACACACCAACACACACACACACAACACACACACACACACACACACACCACACACACACACACACACACACACACAGATTTAATAAAATGTTATGCAAGTACTAGAGCTGTGCTAAATCTGAAAAAAGGAAACAATCCTGACCAGCAATCTGCTTCTTGAGGATGTCTATCTCATTCTTCAGACTCCTGATCTCCACCTCCCTGTTAGCGCTGAGAGGGCCCTCGCCTGACGGGTGCTGCAGGGCCTGTACCGTCTGAGTGGACTCTGCAACAGGTCAGGGAAGAGGCATTGGTAATGTGCTTAGTTCTGCTTTTGTTTTTTTTAAATCAAACTTAGGTGTAAGGAGGAAAGTGGAAAGTCAATAGGATACATTTATTTAGAGGTTTTTAAAAAAAAAAAAAACCTTGACTTTCGCATTTTGTCATGCTAATAAGACCACAGAATGTACAGTACATGTGGGTAAATACAATCACTGCATAAATGCATCTCCCCTCTTTCAGCATCAAATGGGATTTTACTTGCACACACACCCAGGCGGACTCTTTCCTATGTCTTACCTTGCAATTTGCGGCTCAGCTCTAGTTTTTCCTGCTCCAGGCGGCGGATCCTCCTTTCGTAGGCCTCCGTGGCCAGGCTGTCCTCCAAGCTGCGCTGGACATCCAGGTCCAATTGGCTCTGACCTGCCTTACCTGGCTCCGCTGCCAGCTGTCTCAGGCAACCCCGGTCAGATAGGGTACTACAGGAGAGGAGGACGGGAAAAAAGTTCAACCAAAAGTTTGAAAAAAGCAGGAAGGTATAGGAGGCATGAGAACAGTACCAGTGAGAGTCGGTAATAGAAAGAGTGATGAGAGTAGATAAAAGTGGCAGAGAGAGGTTGATTGATATGGGGGGGAAATGGCCATTTATAGAAGTAAAATTTGTCATATTGGTGTTAAACAGTGAAAGAAAATTTAATAAGAACATATTTGGTTAAGGGAGAGAAAGAGGAGGCCAGAAGGAAATGACAGAAGCAGCAGGGCAGGGGAAACAGGAAAGAGAAGTGGACGACAGAGATAGAGATGAGTTGAAGGAAGAGAGGATGTTGAGTCATGGAAGAAGGGGGGAGAGGGAGGGGGGAGAAGGAATGACAGCGACAAAAAGGAAAGTGGAGAGTGCGAGAGAGGGATAGGGACAGACAGAGTGGGGGAAAGAGGAGAGAAAGAAAGACAGGAAAAGGCCATTATCAGTGAGCCTTGAAGAGATAAGAGAGTAAGTGGTGGGTTTGTTGCTTTCTCACAGGCAGCCGTCAGTGTGAACATCTACAGCCAGTCATGAACATCACCTTATTAGGGAGGGAAGCTAATTCAATACTCCTACGCTTCTTTAGATGGACTGATAAGAATGTTATGCACTGAGAGGGGCTTATCTGGGAATCTGTCCATTTATCATGACTAATCACACATGATGCCACATTTTTTTCAATAATCTTAATTTTGCTAACTGGAAAAATACTGGGGGAAAACAGTGCTTCCACATCATGTGAACAACTTCCATTCACTTGTCCACTAAAGATCTGCTAATTACAGAGTGTGAAGGAAGACTTCACCAAATGACCCAAGCCTAAATTTAGGCAGTGGTTAAACTAATCTTTTATATATTAACTATTTATCTGTTTCCCATGGTAGCACTTACCATTTACTTGTGTATGTGAAACCCACAAAGGGCAGGTGGTGGCCAGAGAAGGCAGTGTGAGAGGGAGGGGGCATAGTCTCCTAAAAAATGATTCAAAAACACAACAAAGGATTGAGATTTCCACACCTAATACACATCATTATAAAAAAATATGTATACATTTACAGACAAGCAACATTGTAAAGTGTTTGTTGTCCCCTCACCGAGTTCTTTAGGCAATCATCGTCCACATCAAAGTTGGAGGTATCTGTAGGACTGCTGACCTCTGGGATGTAGGGGGCCTCACACGTCAGAATGTTTTCCCAATCAATGCCTGAGCACAAGAGAGATCACAATCACACTCAGAATACAGGATGATCCATGATTACTTTATTAGTAGGCACAAACAAACTCTGGGTAGCTGAAATGACAATTATTGATACTGTATGCATTGATTTAATTTCCTGTGTGTTTTTTCATTTTTTTCTCTTCTGTTCAAAAGGCATGCTGGCGCTGTCATTCTTCAATATACTACAATATATGACCAATGAAGAAAAAGAAAGAACATTCAAATCACAGATGAAGCTGTGACATCTGTGACCTTTGACTTCGCCTGTACCAGTGAAGAAGGGGTGGTGCTTGAAGTCCTCAATGCCGTTTTGGCCCAATCGGTGCTCTCGACTGCAAATAAGCCTACGAATCAGATCCTTTGCGTCCTCAGACACGTCCGTTATCTGCTGCGGAAACTGGAAACGCTCCTGTGCAAAAACATTTGAAGGTATGTATTAGAGGCACCAGACATTTGAGATGGTACATTTCAGTTTCAAAAATACAGATTAGATAAATAGAGTAATTGTAAATAAAATAGAATAACAATGAATCCACTGTAATCGTGCTTCTGCTTTCTATTACAGCATTGTTCTTTATGGCACTACTACACATTATTATCTTTGAATTAGAGAGTGTATATACACAAAATCAACTTCAAACACACCTTGTGGTTCATGATTTTCCCATAGGTTTCCACCAGGGACTCTGCATAGAAAGGAGTCTCGCCGTACAGCATTTCATACATGCAGACGCCCAGGGACCACCAGTCGCACTCAGGTCCATACTTGCCTTTCCCATCCTCCATAGCCTGGAGGATTTCTGGGGAGATGTAGTCTGGAGTCCCCACCGCCACGGAGGACTGGACCTAACAGGGACAAAACAAAAGTCAAGAACTGATCCAAAAAATGTCACATGAGAGACAAAAGTACAGAACTTAAGTGTTCAAGTTCAGCCTGCATGCTAATGAAAGTAATGATGATGAGTTACAGGCTGAAGTCTTGGAAAATATAACTGCTCCAGCAAACAACCAAACAAAGAGCATATTGAACTTTCAGACCCCCACTACAGGACGAATTCCCTTGTCTACACAGTTTTCTTTGGAGCTCTGTTTCAACCTATTTCACATTTTGAGAATTCACATTGGATGCTGAATCCTAAATTAAAATCAAGGCAGTGAATTAGTACATAGAAATGATTGTCATGATTAAGTGCCAAAATTTCCACCGTGGAAGAGAAAAAGCAGATGTTGGAATTTAGATCCATCACTCGTTGGCATCAGCTCTTTCTTATTCAGGAAGTTGCTTTAATACAGATGAAACACCAAAGAAATACACTCTTATCATTCAAAGCCTCAATCTAGAAGAACAAGCCCTACATTTATTTCTTCAAATGGTCGTATAACCTCATTAGTATATTAGCATTGGAGGGACAAACCTATGCACTTCTTTGATCATCTAGTTCATCCTGTCATTTTTCTTTTACATAACACCTGAGGGAACTTTTTTTTTTCTTGCTGGGAGAATTGCCTGAATCATAAAGTGCAGGCACAGCCAAGCCGCTGAACCACACACTCCTCTTGGGAGACCCCGGGGGTTGACAAGGAGGTCAAGCAAAGCTCTGGTATGTTTGCTTTGGACCGAAGGAGGCATCAGCAGCAGTGTGGTAAAAACTTACCGTCCCATCCTCCATGAGCTTGAGGCAGGAGCCGAAGTCGGCCAGGCGGATGTGGCCGTTCATATCCAACAGAATGTTGTCGGGCTTAATGTCCCTGAAAGAAGGCAGAAAGAAGAAGGAAAAAGGCAAATTAAGCAAGAGATCCCTCAGTACAATGAGGAAGATGAAGAAAACAAGACATTCTTCCAAACAAAACAATACCTATGGGACATTCACACACAAGCCTGCTCTCATATTACAGTGCAACCATCAATTATCAGCTAATTAAATTAGATAACCTGAGGAAATTTCACCATCTAAACTTGCTTCTAAAGCTAGTGCATAATAATTCAGATACATTTGTGATTCAATTAAGTGTAATTTCCCCCTGCACATTTATCAGCAGCATGACAACTCCAAATTGACCAAAAAGAGAAAAGAATAAACACTAGAAATAATTGGACTTGTGTTGTGGGAGTGTGTGTGTGTGTGTATGTGTTTGCAGGACACAGCTTTTAAAACACACACACAAACATGTCTGTTTGAGGAAATATGCAACGCACAAACACTCCCACTCACAGAAAAAGACCCTGTGTCCTAAACAGACAACCTCCCTTTTTCACTTTTCCAACAATATTTGTGTTTGTGGACGGAGACAGACTGGGTGGGGGGTTACTGACAACACATTCTTTCACAGATGTGTACACGGTGGCCACTGTAGAATTCCATCTCAACCTGCATCTGTTCTGCATTACTACTGCTGATGATATGTTTATAATATAGATACTGAGACTGTGGCTTGATTCCAGTTGGTAGGAGTCATTGCTACATAGCAGCAACACCGGCTGGAACACATCAATATTCATCAGCTACTTTCACTATTTAACCAGAAAACGAGGTTTTTAGAGTTCATTTCTCCTCTACATTAGGAATATTTTAAAGATAGATTTGTCCCAAAAGTATTAGTTGAGGTTTGTGTTATTTGCAACTTCATAAAACATTTGTCTACTTCCTATAAGGTACCAAAGTGAAGGTAACTCCAGCTTCTATGTCCCCACAAACAATTTGGAACTTATCCTAAAAGGGAATAAGGTGCAGGGGACAGGTGGTCACTGACAGGTGGTTTGTGTTGGGCTGCTGTTGCTATTGTCTTACACAGCAGTCTGTTCTAATGTAGATCCCAGGCCTGAAACTAAAGCCAGGCCTCGTTTAAGTCCAGTATCTGGTGGGTGATTCTCAGCTTGTGTTTCTTGAGTAATTCCAAGAACAAAAAGTCCTTTGCCTCTGTTTCGTCTGTGACCCTCTGGTGTCAGTGTTAATATTTTTAATTATATGAGTATTTAGTTAAAATCCACATAATAATAAATGTGAAAACATACAAAATAACCCCAATGATTGCTGGCCTGGACTGGTATGAAATGGGAGATGCCAGTGTATCCCACCATCAGGGCTAAATATAGCCTGTCCTTGTCTGACCATTCCACTGATTTCCCTTGAGGGCAGACCGTGTTGAGCCCTATGTCTGAGGCCCTCTTATCAACACACTGAACCACAACACGGGTCAATACACATGGTATGGAGGGCACATAAAAACTCTTTATTGAGTACACACAGTACATCTAGAAAGCCCCAAATGACACCAGTTACAGGAGATGGTGTGTGTGTAACTCATAAGTCAGCTTAAACAGACACTCAGAGTTGACGTCACAGGTTACAGAACTGAGCTGGTGCCAGTTCTTCTGGGCAGCATGGCTCTGCTTAAAATAATAAACCAGATGTCCACCAAAAGCACACACATACACGCACTCTCTAGCCCTAACTCATGCACAAACACACCAATAGCAGACTGATACTAATACTAAATTAGGGCTGATTATTTTCATTATAAATTAATCTATCAATCCTTTTCTCAAGTAATCGATTCGTTGTCTGGTCCATAAAATTTCAGTAAATGGTGAAAAACGTTGAAAGCCGTTTCCTAAAGCACAAGGTGATGTCCTCAAATGTCTCGTTTTTGTCCACAACTCAAAGATATCCAATTTACTGCCATAGAGGACTAAATAAACCAGACTTCAGATATGTTTTCTTAAAAAATGACTCAAAACAATTACTTTAATAGTTGACAACTAACTGATTAACTGACTAATTGTTGTGTTGCAGCTCTAGGATGTGTACTAAACAAGAAGCATGGTGTAAGAAGTAAAACCCAACGAAGGAGATAAAACAAAAGCTCAATTACATTAAAGAAATTGGTCAGAGACTCCACAGTCTCCTTATCCTGTTGCTAGATCTTGCGTAAGACTGCTGCTATTTCAACCAGTTACGCAGTGTTACAGTGGGTGTGCCAGCCCCCCGCCGCCCGCCCCCCCCCTGTTTTGTACGCATTTGGCTTTCAACAAGACCAAGACCACACCAAAAGTGGCGGTATCTAATAAAACTTCAGCTGACTCACAAATAAAATTCCGCACGTGTTTGCTCCGTAGATTGAGGTGAGACCAATCGTGATTAAAGTTGCTTGGCCAAAACAATCAATTTTTGGCCAGATAAACAAAAGCATCAGGCAGTAGAAGCTAATCAGTTAAAGCTCATAAAGATTCCCACATGTTCCACTTCCAATATTCGCCTTAAATGTGCGGGTGCCTCGAACCCTTGCTCAAAAATACACAAAACGTTGGGCCCGAGGCCTAAGAGATTTTTTTCGTTTAAGAGTGGAACAGACCATGCACTTGCCTTGAAAAGGCTTTGATGTGGTCTGTCTGTGCAGGCTAGAGGATCTGCTTCAAAGGCAGCATTGTGGAGGCGCGCCTGTTCATTTGTTTCCCAGTGAGTTGTTAATAGTTCGCATTTCCATGGGGCTGGAGCAGGGGAGTGGGCTAGCCTATCTCTCTCTCTGCTTCCAACATAGCACTACAGCAAACTCACCAGGCCTGAATAAACACCTTGGGGAGTGTAACAGTAATACTGATGCATCATATGTGGAGCTTGTATTATGGACACATAAAAGTCAGGGGCTCCAAAAAGTCAGTTTACTGAACAATTTTGACACGTTACTGGTTTGTAACCAAAGTGCCCTGTTTGCGATCACGAGGTTAACTTAGAAAGTAGCTTTTCGAAGTCAGATCTGTGGCCCTGCTCTGCGGATGAGTTCCAGACTGAGGACATCACGTAATTTAACGCACAAAGTCGCTAGGATTACTGGGGCCTGGTGTAAGTACTTCTTTCTTGGGTCGAAAACGACATACCTGGCCCAACCAGTGCATACGCTTCCACTGCTGGCATAGGCAGGTTACGCAGAATCATCATCTCTTCGTTGCCTCTCATGTTGAGCCAGGACCTGTTTTTTTCTGTCTCTGTCTCTTTCTTTTTTTAACAATCGAGCTGAACAGCTAAATTCACAATGGAATCCTGATCTTTTCACATGTCTCATGTTGCGGCCAGCTTTCCATATGTCGGTCCCATGTGTTACATGGGAACAGTGCCGTATCAAACGATTGTGACTTGTTTCAGTCAAAATTGGTCCTAAAAATTAGGTCATGTGCACAAATAGGTGATGAAATATCGCATCGCGCTCTCGCTAGGGATGCTGTTGACACAAATTCCCACCAACTGGTCACACTGATCTCCTGCTGATAGACAGGGTGTTGGTAATTATTCCCAGCAAACGGCCGAGGACAAAGAAGACTTCCGGCAAGTTAAGCGCATGAATGTTCAAAACTTTCAATAAAACAGGCTTCTGCAAATCTTGTAATTGAGGAAGGAAGATGTCATCTCAAGGACAGTTGTTCTCAAGGAACGTATACAAGAGTGCCTGTGCCGGTGTACTGAAGTAAATGAACTATTTATCAAGTAAAACTGACGTACAGGCGTATCTTTTATGTCTTGAGTAGACACTATTCTTTTTCTTCTACACACATGTTTTCAGTTGGTGGATAATCATTTTTTACTTCCTCTTTGTAGCCCACGCGCTTCACGACAGACCGTGATCCGACCTAATGTGGTTACGTCGCTCGTCCGTACCAAACCAGGCACCGTGACTCTGCAAACAGAACGTCCTCAGATTCTCGTGTAGGCCGACTTCATGAGCAACCTGTAGACTTCGATGTAGGACGCTGTGAGGCATTCGAGGATCTGGTGCACCACGGTTCAATAGCCGCTGCAAGGCCTTAATCGGTCCAGAGGAATTCTGCTGTGCCACAGAAAGGCCCGCCCGAGCGTGAGTTCGACCCTTATGTGCCGTGGGTGGTATTGTAACATGTGTGTGGCAGACAAACAGGCACACTGGGTGTAGAGCGGTCTTCCCAAAATCTATACCCGACCCTCTCTGTGCTCTGTCAGGAACTTTTTGTTTTACTATCTTGTTCTCTGTTTTAACAGTTTGTCTGCCCGCTGACTGTCGGTGGGGAGCCCGAGCTGATGATCAGGGCAAGCACATAAAAGCCGCCGCAGCTCACACGACATGAGGCTACAGCAGCAAGAGCAGCCTCCCGATTTAGCCTTCTGACACACTGGAAAGAACCTAAACGAGGTGGCTGGGTGCTAAGCTAGTCGCTGAGGCGCCCCCTCCGCTCCTCTCCTGCGTAGACTAATTGGGCCTCACGTGTGTCACAGCCGTTCCTGCAGGTCTAGAGGGCGGCGAGTGCAGAGAGACGAGGAATACGAGGGATGGTGAATCTCTTCTAATGACCCACAGCTCATCTCCTTGTGCAGGCCAGTCTGGAGACCGACACCTGCACAACCACACGACACAACACACACGAGCACAGCACCACACACACACAACACGACACACAACACAGCACAGCACACCACGACACACACAAGCAGCGACACACACACAGCGACAGACACACACACAGGCACACACAACAACCACAGCACACGGCAGACACTGGAAAGTGCACAGACGTAGGCAGTGTCCACCAGCGTCGAGCCCAGCAGTTTGGTTAACTCACATGGTGCAGACAGAACTCGTGCCTGTGGTGAAACGTTCTGGGCATCAGCTCTGATACCCGACAACAACCACAAAGCGCGCCACACCAGCACGCAAAGCACACCCGGCCTCCCAATCACAGGGCTTACCTATTTAAAGAGTGATTGGTCTGGCTTCATTCAGAT